TGTATCTTGCAAAAAACTATAAATCTCAAATGTATATACCTGTGTAAGACCAGGAACCTGTGAAGTAATAACAAACTGTTGTCCAGCACCAGTAGTAAGGACATTGAGCCCCTGAGCTGTGGCAAGTACTTGCTGCAAACTAACAGTCTGTTGCGGTGCACCTCCACTGCTTCCCCCATTGTTTCCTCCACCCCCGTTAAGGGGTGGTAAAATAGGTGCAGTCTGCTTATCACTCATTACATATCACACTGTAATGTTAATTAAATAACACTCTCACAAATATAATCAAAATTTGTATGCAAATAATACTGTCTTGAAATATCAGTAACATGTAAAAACAATGTATTTTCATAAAAACTGTTTTAACCAAAATATGTATTTATTTCATAATTTAATTAACTAGCAAGTATTCAAAAAAGTAATTAAATCTATATTTAAAAAGTCAGTTGCATCTGCAATGTTAAAAAAATATAATATGTTCACATATTTCACTCAAATTTCAAATATAAATGAATAAAATAAGTATTGACATGAGTACTTGCATTATTTACTTTCTACACATCGAATTTTCATTGAAGATTATATGTTATACTTGCACATAGATTAGGTTAAAAAAATAAAATACATACAAAGATAAAGAACGAATAATTAAAAAAATTAAAAGAATTTATGACTAAGTGCGAGTTACAAGTCGTAAAAAATTATTTTAAAAATAGATTCGTTTGGCATATACATGATTATTTCACGATTTAAAAAAAGAAACATAAAAACATTGATTAAGAAAAGAAAACAAAATAAGAGAAAACATGAACTATAACTTCACTAATTATTAACAATACTTTATTTCTTAATTATTAAAGGTATGTAAACAATCCGTCGTACATTTTATATCCAAATATGCATATTTGATTGTTGTTCCAAGAAAGGTAATCCCAACGAGTCAAAATGAGAACGTTAATTGATTTGTGAAAAAAGCGCCGAAATCAAAATTTCTCCGTCGATCCAACTGATACACCGCATTGGAATTTATAAGACGTGCGTATTGCGCAGAAGAAAAAATACACTGAAAAATACTGCATCAGGAAGACAAAGAACTTCTCCACGATCGACTGCACGACGAAATGAGCGATGTCATTTAAAATATCACAAGATTGTGACGAATACGCGAAGGTCCGATATCAAGCATTCTGGGCGTTCAAGTTTTCTTATTAGAAAAATGTCATTTTATCTTGATACAATAACAATAACCGTCGCGTTATTATATCGATGAAACTTTCCGGCAATGAAAAACAGTGTTCCCGATATTTTAACGTGTATCGCTCCCCAGGAAAATATATTTTTCGCAATTGCGTCAGTGGAGCCTCGCGGCGATACAAAGGAAATTTTTCGTCCGCCATGTTGGCGTTGGTCCGATAGGAGGGCGGACTTACCATAATGTAATCACAAAATTCTGCGACGTAGGTGAGCCATCCACGAAAATAATTGTTACACCCGTGATCGACGAGCGTTAAATTGCAATTAGGTACCTCACGTAATGTACAGTGCATGAGCTATATCTAATATTTTACAGAACATTTTCGCTCGACTCGCTCAAGGACGCACACACTTCTAAACATGGCGACGGCTCCCGACAAAATTTCGACCGCGGCCAGACCGAGAGCTGCTTGCTACTTTACGTTTACACAAGCCACGGAGAGATGCCGCTCCGACTGGGCACCAATTCTACGATTGGCTGCTTGCGACCGGATACTTGGCAACGTGGCACTTAGAAACGTTCCTGATTGGTCACTAGTAAAAATATTAAAGGGACTGGTTTTCCGACCAACAAATCAAATCAGCAACTATTACTCCTTGGTACAGAATTCTTCTGCATTTCTTAAAATTCACTGCTACACAAATTTCCATATATGTACGTTCAAGCAATATATACATATATCAGTAAAACATTATATATTACTTTAATAACTAAAATTTCAACCTCGAAAAACATTCTTTTCTAATTTAAAGCATTGTTTAATTTAATTGCTCACTAAAAAAAATTAACTAATATCAACCGCAGGATAAACATTTCTATGAAACTCGAAGCTGTGAGATTTAATAAGAGAAATTATTGTACGATCTTTACAACGGTTTCAAAACGTTTTCGCACAGCCGACAAATATGGACATACATTGGACGTAGTGTTACATCACTTTACATTTCTAGCAACAGACGTGGAGCCATTATCCGAATGTTTCGATTCAATTTATAAAGCAAACAAATTGATATCGTCAAAGCTATATATTCTCTTCACACTCTCTATCTCTCTCTATCTCTCTTTCTCTCTCTTTATATTTATATATATATATATAGTAACATACCACGTGCTTCGAAAATTTTACGATATACTCTTCTAACTTTAATCGCAAAATAGTATCATTTTGTTAATTATTTTCAAACAATGTTATTATTTAAAATTTTAAATATTCAGAAACAATTAGATCTACAAAGATCTTATGACTTACAACGTTAATACAATAAATCGGTGCTCAATAAAATTTTCACGTATAAAATAAATAACTTCTTACGACAAAAATTGATTTTTGCCAATAAATAATACCTGAGAATTTCAATAAAATTTCGTAATGAGCGCAACATGGTGTCGCGCTATAGATATGTACTTAACACGCCACGTGCTAGCTTACGACACTACATGTGTTAACGTTCGAAGGTAGAAACCAGGTAAAGATAAAATAAGTAGAAGAAAGTTTTACTCACTTTTCGATGGACCTTTGTCTCAGATGTTTTCCGTGTCGACGTTTGTACGTATCTTTTTAGCCAAATTCGAACAAATTACTATACCGATATTGAACACAGGCGTGAAATTTTCTCATCGGACGTGTACGCAACACATTTTCGAACGCGATAACAAACTGTCTATTAGTTTCCCAAGGCAAAACTGTAATCGTATTTGTGATGGATCGCGACTGAATCATGATGAAAGAACAAACAGGAATTAATGTATTAGAATTTACAACACATGTTTTTTACTAATTCGAGATTCTACTATCCTTAACGAACTGTCCGCGTGTGATACGTACAATCGTAAGAATGACGCTGGGGTCATTTCGGTACTCAGCGCATCATCTTTTGGGTACCACTGCTATATTTACATTGATCTACGTAGTATGTGTGATAATGATTTAAAATTTTTATTTAAACAATAGAGAATGAATACTCTATTAATACTTGATTCCATTTTCTTTTTCGAATCGCCGTAATTTTTTGTTCGACAGCTTTAAAGCTAGATCGTATTTTCCTGAGAATTGGGTATATATGTATGTCACGTGAATTCAAATAAAAGTAGTGGGTTCGTTAATATTAATGTTCCGGAAGTTTGTATCGTAACAGTTTCTTGTTTAATTAATACTAGAAATATAAACATGAACGGAATATTAAGATGAAACTTTTTCTACATTTTGAAGGCGGCAATCGAAAGAGTTGTTTTCTTAAGTATGACGAAATTAAATTCAAATGTAGATTCGAAATTATCGGATGTTGTAATACAACAATTAGAACGTAGAAATATTACTACTGTTATCGAATTTATAGATGAAGATTTAGATAAGTTGGTGACATTCACTGGACTCTTACTGAAGGTAAATACGTTTCGTTTATTAAAAAATAATGATGAAAAATAAATATTTCAATTTAAATAATAAAATAAACGTTACACTGACAGGATATACTTAAAATTAAACAGAATATTATACAAAAGTATGGAGGTGTGGTGGAAAATGCTAGTAATTTGTATGATATAGAATTGAAGAACAGAATTCCTACTTATATATTAAGGTAATATTATTAACTTAATAACATAGTAAAAATTAAATGAAAATTTAATAATAATTAATTGAAATAATTAGTCTAGATAATTTACTGAAAGGTGGATTGTATCCAGGTCAAATATATGAAGTATGTGGTATATCCTCAAGTGGTAAAACACAATTATGTTTAACAATTGCAAGTAACATTGCTCTTGAGCATCATTGTTTTGTACGATATATTGACACAAAGAAAGATTTTTGTGGTTCACGTGTAGAAGAAATTCTGTTAAAAAGAAATAGCTCTAAACAGGTATTAATATATGTATATATGTTATGTTTATTTGATAAAACTTTCTAATTATAAAATGAGAATATAATAAAATAGATAATAAATATGTTAAATGTAGGTTACAGATGAAACCTTGGAACGCATTAAAGTATGTAGTGTAGAAAATTTGCATCGGTTGTTCAAGGTTTTACGTTGGCTAACAATTGCCTTAAAAGAGGAAAAAGAAGAATGTCGTACAAGAATTATAATCATTGATTCTTTAACAGCAATAATTTTTAAGTATTCTAATGATCATAAAATAACAAATGCACTGAATTATTTAGCCAATATATGTTATTTTATTGCTAATGAATTTCATTTATCAATTATCACAGTCAATTTAATTACTCAGTGGATTTCTTCTGATGAAACAGAATCAGTTAGTACAAATGTAAGGGAGAATCGCAGTGAGATAATACCAACATTGGGAAAGTATTGGGCAGGTGTACCTAGTACAAGATTATTAATAAACAAATTAGAACATGGAAACAGAAAGATTTCTGTATGGAAAAGTTTTCAATTAGAAACAGATATTTCATGCACATTACGTATAAGTAGCAGTGGTATGTTATGTACTTAATACTTAATAAATATACATTTAATGTTATTTGGTTTTTGAATTCTTTTTCATACAATCGGTGGATTAACATATATAAAAATATACCTTATCTGCATGTTTGAATAAATAAATTAATGTAATTAGAATATGTTTATCTTATTTTGAGTATCTGTACATCAACTTTATATTTGCCGGCAATTTCAAAAATTACAACACTGCTGTTCCTAACTTCCGGTGATTGTATGATTTGCAACGTTGCCATATTTTCATAGTGTGAACGATAGTATAACAGTTTATAATGGTTATATTAGATTAGTGTTAGAGAATAGTGTTAATTAATTGGTAAGAACGATGGCTTCCTTAGTTGCGGATTATGGAACTTCCTCAGGATCAGAAAGTAGTGATGATGATCTTTCGGAAAATGGCGATAACACGTAAGCTTGCAGCAATGTAGATTTGTATGCCTCCTTGTTTGTTTTCTTTCTTCGTTTAACCTTTCGCAATCCGTATTTATTTTACTTCTTAAAATGAATTTTTACATTCTTAATGCTATATCTTGCGTAAATGTACGTCGCTCGTGTTAGGCAGAAGAATTTGCCACGTCTATACTTGTAAAACAAATACTGTCCAGGATGTATTTACATTCATTTATATCTTACATTCCTCTGTTTCTAATGTCACACTATCTACGTTTATGATTTGATAGTTATTCTGTAGAGTTTCCCTTTCCATCTGTTATATTATGAAAATATTATGTGTATGTATATAGTTCAACCAGTGGACATAATGCATAACATTATTTTATACATGATTTCACAAAGATAACATTAATAATACAAGTATGTATTATTATCTTTTATGTCTGTATTAACATGAATGTATTAAGATGCAGTTGATGCTTACACGTAAGATTGAACTGGTTCTTTGTAATCTGATATTGCCTAACCCTTAGTTTTAAGGAGGAAGAAGAAGAAGAAGATGATGAAGATGAGGATGAAGAAAATTATGAAAATAACAAAGGATCATCGAACAAAACAGCTTCCAAAGAAAAACTTCCATTGCCAACACCTGATTTTAATGGCACACCCACCATGAAAACTTCAGTCTTCTCAAATCCATTCGTGGAAGCAGAAAAAGCAAAGAGTGCAATCCTTGAAAAACATGTAAAAATGACACCAACTTTGGATGACACGAAAATGATAAATGGTAGAAAAATTTGCTGGAACTATAGAAAGGGTAGATGCCGGTTTGGTCATAATTGTACTTTCGCACATGATTCTGATTTACATCGAACAGCAGCTGAATTGGAAGCAATTCGAGCACCACAAGAAACAATTATTTGTCAAACTCAGTATAATGGGCAAATTCCGATGAATGATGATGATGAGATAGATCAAGAAAATAATCAAATGAATAAGCGCAAGAAAAGGCCAGGTTTAAGTCAGTCCTTAATACCTAGTAAGAAAGTCTTAAAAATGTACAAAGCACAACAAGCTAAAGCTGTTACTAGATAAATTTTATTAAGTATTCAAATTATACTAGTATACAATCAACTGCATTGAAAGAGAATATTTTATGGTTTTCATGCTTTCCGATTCACAAGGGGAGTCAATGACAAAATGCATTGCTAATAAAGAACAACGGAACAATGAAAACTATACAAACAAAGAATCACAGTATAAAATTTTTATCTCTTTACGTATTAAAAGAAATAAAAAGAAGTAGACACTTCCAATAGAAGTTACATAAGGAATATGTCACAAGTTATTGCTACTTCAAAATCAATTAAAAGCAAACAAATTATTTAAATACTTGATATTAATAGGAAATTGTTTGTTATGTATATAAAAGTACATTTTACTTGTATAGTTAATACTTCCAGGGACCTGCATAAATATATTTCTATTTATATTTGACATCCCTAACTTGCCCATAAATAATGAAATATGTCTTCTATTTGCTTTTTTATTATGTACTTCAATATGCCTCTTCTTCCTTAGAAAGAGGCAGCCACAGGAAAGTTCTTTATATCAGAACTCAAAAATGTTTACAGGTAGAAGTATTATTCTGACGAAATATTCTACAAAATTCCACTAGATTTTTAAGAAGTTTTAGACCATGTTTAATGTACAGAGCAAATCGTCGCTTTATGTGCTATATGTAAGAGAAGGAATATATGAATTATGTACAATATTGTTAACATTTTCTTCTGATAAAGGTGGTTAATACAGTATCTACATTAGGTACTAACAGTAATTTAGATTAATCAAGGTATACCAAAAACAACAATTACGCTTCCAGTATTTGTTATATCTTTCTACATAATGTTACAAAATATAAAACAGGGCTTCTATAATTCCATGCTAACATGCATATATGATTGTTAATCCTGCATTTTTGGTGTTGAAAATCATATTTTTTTCTTTATGTGCTCTCCGATCACCAAAATGTTTTTAATAAGAGAAGCCTCATTTATTACAATAAAACATGATTTATTCAGTTTAGACGCATTCGACTTCATACTTATGCAAGAACATAAGTTTGATACTATTCTAAAGAATGTTTATGCATTCAAGAAAATTTATATGTAGCTGTAAGTTTTCTTTCTCATTTTGTACAATTGTAAAATTATAAAGAAAAGTTTCTGAAAAATGGCAATAAATGTGCAGTGACCAACAAACTATTAAACTGTATTCTTCTCCCTAGTCAAACCATATAAAAATGCGTTAAATCTTAATCGAAGCAAAAAGGCGTAACAAGAAATTATTTAACATTAGTAAAAAGTAGTTTGGGTTTGAAAAGAGGCAAAAAACTGATAGGCACATGACATTTTATTAGATAATCATGGGTACATACGAGTTCAGATCAATTATATGTGGTATAAGTGCATCAATAACTGATTATTGCATCTTTCATTGAAAATATATATTTATATATCATTTTTCTCATTTTCGCGACTGAACATTTCACAGGCACTTTGTCTCTAAACAATGGCAAAATTTGTGATAAATGTGTCTATGTAAAATAAGCATATATATAATCATCACAGTTTATGTTCATTAAGTTATGATCAGTGACGAATCGAACTTTAATTGATAAATTAAATTAAGTGTTTATTAATTTCTTTATCTCAAAGTAATTTCCTTTGCAGAACACTTGAACTCAACAATCAATATTGCTTGCACCGAAAGTATTCCCATTGAAGTTGTTGTCTCATATTAACTTAACAAATTCTTAATAGAAATATACCTGTTAAATACTAGTACATTTGACAATTCTCTTGCCATGACTATAATACATACTTCTGACAATACTGCAGAACAGTACAATCGTTGAACCATACTTTTGTAAATTACCTTGCCGTTATGCACTAAAAGACAAGTGAAATACTAGATTAATTTGCACTTTACGCTAACAAACAATTTTCTCTGGAGAACCGTGAACAGTTCTACTACGAAAACGAAAGTCTTTTCTGCGCGATCTACGTTTATAATTTACAAAATAAATCGTTAAAATTATCTTAGTGCAGAACTTTAATTTTCTATCGAGTCAATGTTAAAATTTTTCCTAAGGAAAAGTATACTTCACACTGATCGCATGTTCTCGGATAATTACATATCTCGAATACGTTGTTTGTATGCTACGTACTACATGCATTTTGTATCACAATTATTTATAAGTAAACTTTTTTAAATAAAGATTTACCACAATATTCTAACAGAAACGAAAAAATACACAAGTAAAGAGATGGAGAGTGAAGTGAAGTGATTTAGATGTAAAAATACTTGGTATATTAATCGACATCGCTTGTTTAAACAGATCGGTAAAAAATAAGTTACAATTGAATTATATGAAATACAATTTCTCATTTACAGCGTAGTACTTGAATACGAGACACGCGAGTCTCATCGACAGTTAGAAAACAGGTGTGTTTATGGTCAATAAATTTGTCACTTTTGTATTGTATAGGAAATTTCTCGATTTAAGTTTAACTGTCAGTGCCAATAAAGTACTCTTATTTATTTACCTTGGAATTATTTAAATAAAATTCCTTCATCTCTCATTGCTCTACTTTTATCATTTTGTTCTCACGTTCTTTATCTTCAGATTCATTCTCATCGACACACTTCTCGCGTAGTCTTACAATCTATCATTTAACGATTTCGCAGGATTATCGCATGCAATGCATTTTTGATCTTCTTGACTATTGCTTTTCATGTTACTCCGCTCGACGAATTTCGCATTGCCATTTTCAACACTGTGGACACCATTTTGCACGCCATTAACAACTTTATCGATACCATTCATACCGACGTCTACACCGTTGACTCCAGATTCGAATCCGTTCATTTGTTTCTTAACCGATGAGTTATCTTTCGCTTCTGATAAACTGACATTTTTACTTTCCGTGGATCCACTTTCCGTCAAGCCTGCAAGAGCGTAATCTGTGCAATTTAAAAGACTGATCAAACGGAAGATCGCCTATACTAAAGACAATTTTATATCAATTGTTAATACTAATATACTAATACCGATCATTAATCCGTTAACGTGGAAAGATGAATCAATTCAGATTCCTTCTCTCTTCGAAACTAAACCTTTCATTTTCTCATCTAACCCGATTAACGGATATTAAATCGTCAATGAATTACACCTACATAATTTGATAATAACAAATAAACGAACGCGCGATACGTACCGTGTAAATTGTGGCAGTATTTATTGGTGCTGTTCCATTCTTCCCTAAGGCTGAGGTTGAACATACTATAGTCCGGATTTCCGGTGACTTCTTTCTCAATTGTCAAAAACTGTGGTAAAATGTTCTTCAGTTCGACCCCTGATAACGCCGTATACGTTTCAAGCAACATTAAACCTCGGCACCTAAAATGTTCAATATGTTACTCGTTACACACACCATCAGAAACAATGATTTACTTTCTACAATACATTTCTCTTCCCAACGTTTACCTTGGGTGAGCTGGTTCTCTGTATATATCTAACTGGAAATACTGATTGTTGATTAGGAAGCAACGTCGACGCTTGAAGATGGTGAAATGCGAGTCGTCTCGCTGAGCGAGCATGTTTAGGTAATCCCTGTGTGTCAACTGTGTCTTCACCTCGATTACTTGACCACACATTTTTGGACGCCTGATAGTGTGGATGTAAGACCAGTGACCTGCAATAGTACACAACATGAGTCACAATAGTTTAACTTAGCTTAACCCTAACGTCGTCCACAGTTTTTCTGTACATTCGACGTGTCATTACAAAACTAGGAAACAAAGTCCAGTTACAATGTGCTTGTACCGTTCTTGAATAGAAAAGCATCCCCGACAAAATGATAATACATTTTACATAATAAAAATAAAATTAATCCTATAGATATTACTATTAGAAATTATGAACCACGACATTATATTTAGCAACTCGATGACTCGTTTCAGTTTCATTTTTCTGATATTTTCTTTAGAAGATTTATTGGATAGAAGAAAATATAATTAAGGAGACCGTCATTGAAATAAGCGCTGGTGGCGAACGTGTTAAACGTCATGTCAGTCACCGATGATTGACGTTTCTGAGTTACTTCAAAACAATCGTAACCGATGTCGAATGCCGTGGGGGTCACCGGTGACCCCAACCGAATCAGAGTACTATACTTCACTCAGTCAAACTATGATTATTTGAAAAGATTTGTACATTATAAATAATGCTGCCTAACGCGGTGACATTCAGCTAGATGAACATGCAATAATAATAATGCAATTCAATCAAATGATTTAATATCATATCTTTTCGATTTGGGTATTTTGCTCTATGAAATCGTGCGGCATTCAACGTGTTAATAAGGTAACAAAGTTGATAATAGTGCACTGCTAAGATTGCAACGCTAAATAATTAACGATTGTCCCTGCCTTCCTTTGCTACAAAAGAATAACTGTACGAAAAAACGGCCAAGATTTTCGTGGCACTCAACGCGTTGAATGATACTTAGACGTCTATATCGTTACACATTGTTCCACGAAGTATAAGGAAAGTGTACGCTAGACACTCTTTCACCCACCTTTTTGGCCGCGCTTGCGGAGGCGGGCCTGCATCTTCGGGTTATTGCTCTGGAGGTAGTTGTGAACGACATCAAAGTCCTGGAACGGCGGGAATTCGGAGTCCGCCGGCAAAGGACCTTTAATGAGGAACTTGACCTTTCTGCTGCTGGCGCGCAACCTGTCCCCAGTGTCGATGCCTAGCTTTTGGCAGACGCACTCGATCATCCGGCAGATCTTCGACTCGAAATCCTGCGAGTTGTCGATCACGTCGAAGTAAGGGTGTCCGACCCAGGCGGCGGCCGCTTTGTAGTCGAGATCTCTAGCTAGCACGACGCCTTCCGATCTGCACGCGTGATCTTCGGTCGAATAAAACTCTTCGGCGCCGTTCGCCGCCGACACCATGTGGATGATCTGATTATACCGGTTGTCCCTAAGCTCGACGTTGTTCCATCCGTTCGAGGCCATCATCAGCTCCCACTTGTCCTTCGATATAACTGCAAGAAAGGAAGAAGAAGGGAGAGATCAGCCCGGTGAACGAGTAGAGTTCGGGGTAGGCCACTTTGACCCGCGAAGCGTGAATCTGACGCGATGTAGAATCGATAATCCGCTTACATGCTGAGGCGTCCATGGCACCGCGATCACAGATTATCAGGCAATTTCGTGAACAGCTCTCGCCCAGCTGGAAGAACGTGTTCTCGATCTGTATCATCGTCCGCAGAAGATTCTCTTGGAACTTGAACGCTGCGGCAGAATAAACAAAATGAACGATCACGTCCCCGTTTCGGGTCATCCGCTGCGCACGGTCCGCTACATTCCGCGCGAAACAACCCCCAGGTGCGAAACTACGGCTCGCCTAGACCTACGCTGCTATCTCTCCCGAGTTCCCGACGTTTTTACATAATGCAACGCCGGCGAGAAATTAATTAGGCGTTCCCCATTAGCTTACGCCACGCGCCGATAAGCCAGAACGCTCGGTTCAGTTTCTCGCCAACAAAGCGGAGCAAACCAGCGCGATAGCACCAGGAATGAGAGAAGCTTAGGTTACGCTTTTATCTTCCTCTCGTAAGAATTGTATCAGTAATTGTGTCGCAGGGCTTCGCGAGAAACCGCTGAATCAGAATCGACCGGACGCGAACTGTGAGTCAATGTTTTCTTATCGCGCTACTTCGAGTCGTTTGTAACGCAGCGTAATCGCGGTTTTCGCATAAAAGATTCGGAATCAGGCAAGATCGTCCGATCCCCGACGAAGTTACTATTCTCCATTCGTTCTTCCGGGGATTCGTTTGAATCGCGACCGGTTTTTCATTCAAATTCATTCGCCGAGCACCCGGGAAATCGAAGAGAACGCGTCCCGTGTTCCGGATGGTATCGGGCAGGCTGAAAAAAATCCAATTAATGCCGACGAGCGGTCGGAGTCCAATAATCGTGCCGGGCGACCTGTCGTTCTTCATTTCTGTCGTCGGACCCCGCGGGATCCGCGCGTTCGCCCGGTCGTCGCGACGACGATCGGCGGCTGATCGATAGTTTTCACGTCTTCTTCGTGATTTCACGGATGAACGGGGCACAGGAGCCTCGAACGCCGCGCGCCACATTGAACGGAGTCTGACGTCTGGCCAAGCAATTCTGCACAACTACACCGAGGAACTTCGCGATCTACCGACGAGAATATTTGGATCCTCTCCATGGAAAAAACCGAGAACTGCGGTAGCTCTTTTAGAATCAAATACAAGTGCTCTCAGCCTATGATCGGTCGTTTAAAAAGCTCGAAAATAACGACGCTCGTGCGAGAAACGCACAGTGTCAACGGTCGCGATCGCTGAGCTCTGATCTCTAACTAAAGTTAAACGCACACAGGCGTTGTCCTTCCAGGGAGCAAAGTTTTCAAACGTTTGCGAATCCATTTCTATTAAGACGGACTAAAAGGATCAATTTTCGTTAGGTTCGTAAACGACTGTACCAATAACCCCGCGCGAAATAAGAGAAACATCGATCGGAGGAACTAGCGTTATCGCGGCGTGCCGGTAACGCTCTTAATTGCAGCTTGTAAATTTCGATCAAGCACGCGAAACATTTATGGTTCTCAGGAATTCCCCGGGCTATCAATTATTCACGCGAGCGGTTGATTCGTTGCCTCGACAGTTCCATTGTGCGTACCGCCGAACCGATGGGAGAAGGGAGCAAGACGAAAGAACTCGAGAACTCGAGGCGCGCGCGAGGCTGTCGCTCCGAGAAACGTTCGACGTTTGCCTCGACATTTAGTGAGCCGACATGATCCTTCGGAAATCCTTTGAATGCCTTGTCCGATCGTTATTTACGTCACGGTTCGCGTCCTCGTGGAAATTTGTCGCCGGGCAAACGTGCGCTTGGCCGCGCGCCAGCGCGTTCTCTCTGGCGAGTTACGATTCTATCTAAAATGGCCATTAAGTCTCGAGCTAATACAGGCGTCGATTTACCATCGGCGCGAAGGGATTTCTATGAACCTAGCTTGCAGCCAGGGCAGTGAGAATTCAAAGATGGACGAGGGCGGAGGAGGCAGGGGACGGCACAAAAACGCTGGCACCTAATTTACCAAAGTGCAGCGGGACGACGACACGCCTCGGAACAACAGGCGGGTGTCTAGCGGCGGGAGCCGAGTCGGGTGGCTGAAGCAAGGCAACCGGACGTTGGCCTTCTTTTATTTTCGACAGCGTTGAACCGCGCGCGGAAACTGCGGCTTCTGGCTGGAAGACACAAAAACAAACAAACGGGGAAAGAAGTGTCCCGCGGACGCGAGAAAGAAAGGCGAGTCAAGAGTGAAGAGGAGTAAAAGATCTCGAGTCAGCGGGCAGATGGTGAGAGAGGAATAGGGGATGAACCAAGAACGTGTCTTCGACGGCCAGCTCCGAAGCGCGTAATTTCCGCTCGCGATTCACGGAGCGCATTGCCGAGGATGGAACAGGCCGGCCGGGGGAGAGAGCTCGTTCCCTCTTATCGGGTTCGTACAGCTGGCTAAAACTCACCCTCGCCGGAGTCAACCTCCAAGATCTCCGGCCACCTCGCCTCGCCTTTGTCGGACCAGTTCCTGTAACGTAGCCGCGAGGACCTCGTAATCGAAGGACACGGCCCGGGTCCCTTTGCTAGAACCAACCGGCCTTGAAGACACTTCCAGCTCGATGAGCCAGTACCATCCCCCACCCTCGATTAAAGCTCGCGTGCGGTTTAATTATATCGTTTTTCGACGGCAAACCGGTACCGTTGTATCAACGGTCCCGCGGCCGTCGTTCGTCACACGGAATTGGCCGCGGCTCGTTATTCCAGGCTGCAGCCTTCGGGGCACGGACCGCACGCGATGCAGTCCCTGGCTCCCTCGCCAACTGGAAACTCGATCGATCTCCCCCTCGCAATCGCTTCGCAATTATTTTTTCCATTCGACTCTACGGGACACCGCTACTTTCGAATTCGCTTCTGTTCGTATTCGTTTTCCGATTCTCGACGAAACGAGACGAACTTTCTGCCGATGGCTGCCTGTAGCTTTTAGAAACTTAGATCGAACTCCTGGCTTTTATTTCTTACGCGTTCGTGGAATTATGCGAATCCGATGGGACAGCGATGGCATTCCGAACTTTCCCGCAGCTACGCGGAAAATGTCTATTGTATCTAGGCGAGAGCCGTTTCGACTCTGTTTAGAATCGATTGCTGTTTGCTCGGCGAGCACTCGCACTGTGGTAACACCGTTTATTCGCAGACGTTGACGAACGCTGCTCAACCAACCGTCTCTCGGCTCGCATCGGCGGACATATGGTCTTAGCAAAAACGTCTAAAAGCGAAACTGCCGCGTGCGATCGCGTCTACGGTTTCTGTATGCGGCGACGGAGACGAAAGCTACGCGACCGGACCGTGACACGATCGTTTTTCGAGACCGAAGCGGCCGTGTGAAATTCAAACCGACGCGCGGAGGGTCTACGGTGCATCCAACGCACGTGAAACTCGTTGGAGACGTCGAGCAACGTTTCCTCGCGTTCAACGTTTCTCCAAGACGACCATGCGAAAAATGATACAGTCGTAGCCTGTTTAACATTGTCTAATTATAATCCTAGCGCTGAAGCAGCTAATAGAGCTTTAAACTCTAAATACTCCATGATTCGATATATAACGTGACCTCTGCCATCGGAAACTGGTTATTAACACGTTGGCGCACACTTTGACGCGATGCACGACAAAAGCGATTATGTTTCTGTTAATTAGTTGATTCCGCGGGAGTTTCGTTAAGATTTCATACTTTCAGAATAAAATTACTATATTTTTTTTATTTATAATACTAAAAATATAAGACGGCCATTACCGTCATTTGCACCTACACCCACGAGCATTGGACAGATATAGACGGCATTTACGTCAACGTGTTAAGTGAATGTAAAACTAATTCGAGATTATTTTTAGTTGCATGTTTTCTTATCCTTATTTACTATGCTCTAAGGTGACTTCGTTTACCTTTTGTCTTCCGAGAACGTATGTTAGGGTTAATAGAGCTGTTATTGCGCATTGTTTTGCTTCCAAATACAGTAACACCTCTTTCATTACATGAGATTCTCGTTCGTTTAATTTCGACGATCACCGCTATGAGTTCTGGTACTTTTGGTGACTCGTGACGATGATCGTCGCGTGGAATGCACGGATTGGAGAGTAGTTCGTTAAGAGTTCACAAAGAACACTCCTCGATCTGTGCATCTTCGGTTCCGCTTCTTGCGACGAGTGAAGTCCTACTGGAAGTTCTACCGTCGACACGTTTCAGTCTTATTTCGGTCGCGGACATTTCGTTCTGATCAGATTCGAACGGATTCGTAGACTCTACTATTAACACTAAACTTACCGATCAGTTGAATTGACTTTCCGAAACTTCTGTATAGGAACTCGAAGAGTGCACCTATTGTGAGTTTAATTGATTTACAATTCAATTTGCGTATTGAATAACTTCTCAGAGAAACATGTGTTACCTTTTTAATAATTGCGAAAAGAAGATATCAGGAATGGGTAATTTTGTCTGGTAGTTTTAGTGTAGAACTCCGTTAAATGATTCACGGGTGACGTCTTCGGAGAACCAGTTTCGCCGCGAGCTAGCGAATCTTTTTATGTAATTGAACCGGTTCGTGTCAGAATGGAAATCCGCAAAATGGTACAAGTGCACCGCGTCGTTTTGCTGATCGTGCCAATTGATTCGACCTGCCGCGTTTATTAATTCCTCAATGATGGACAACTCGGCAGCGCATACCCTCTACGCGGACGCAACTTGAAAATGTAACTGTACAACCGCTGAAATCAATGGCGCGTGAAGAAACGCGTGAGGTCGACGCCGAGGGGTTGAAACGCGCGACATCTCGTCGCACCGGAGGTCAAAAGTAACAAGTACACTTTGTATCACGATTACATAGAAACTATCGTATTGGCAACGAACAATTCTGTAACGAAATCTGACACAGCGACCCGATGTAGTTGAATCATAGTTAAATTCTATGATAAGTAATGTCTATGACGTGCGTGAAAAATGGAGACGTATCACTGTATCGATTCATTCAATGATCACTCAGAAGAAAAGAAAACAGTCAATGTTTAAAATAAAAGAATGCAAAATAAAAATATCGAAAAGGGAAAGAGAAAAAAACAAAACCAGGAATAAATCGTTTCGAATCTGGTTTTAGTGTCAATTGCAACCAATCCGACGCTGATCTCGAAATCCTGCGACCCGATTCCAAAGATACGATAACGTAAGTCGAACACGCTTGATCCGCGAAACTCGAGCAAACGGCGTTTCACGCCCGCGACTGAGATCGGTCGTCAATATTCATAAACCAGACCGTTTTTCTCAGCGTTTCATTTGCATGTTCTACTGCGTTTCTCACCGGCGACGCCTTTTCATTGGGATAATCCATTCGGAGGGACACGTGACGCGAGCTTGGCAAACGACAAAAATACAAAAACGAACGGAACAAAGGCAACCGATTAGCGAATCGAAGCGAACCGCTTTTTTGTCGTAATGTCATTTGCATGTTTTAACCCGTTTCGCATTCCCTAACCAGTTTGCATCATTACCGCGTGTATACGTTGTTAAACTAGATTACTGGATTATCGATGAATAATCAACCGGTATTACCATAATATTATGATTCTATGTGTTAATCCGCGCACTTACTTCTACGCGTTAATCATCCACGTATCATAAACAAATAGAAAATTCAACGATAACGAGACTTTCATTCGATCGCTCGACGCAAAATAAGCTGACGGTCTTTCAGTTTGTCGGATAATTCAAGGGTAGCAGAAGAATCGATGAAAAAGGGAGAACAAGGAATCGCGGATCGACGAGCGAATTACTTCCCGCGCGCGCGTTTTAATCTTGTTCGTCAATTTTCCGGCGGCGAGTCGCAAAAGCGGCACGACCACGACTCGGGGCGTAATTTCATTTCCGCGGCAGCTTTCATCCACGTTTTCAATGTGACAAGCCTTAAGAAGCAACCGGGAGGAGGGACGAGACCGGCGCAACTTCATTTTCCGTCGGATGTCGCGCCGTTGACCTTGGTCGTCCTAGACCTTGAACTATCGGGAACTAAATGGATTTCAATTTCTCCCGCGGGAGGGACGTAGGAAGATGTTTTCCCCAGGCCGGATCAATGATACTCTTTCGCGTTTCGTCGCAATAGCCGCGGTCTGTTTACCGTGCTCGCGACTCGCAAATCACGGGCTAAGGATTTTATACGTTCACCGTGTAAAAAGGAAGGTCGCGATGTATTCGAAAGCTCCGCGATTCCAGCACGATGTTTTCTAACCTTCCGCGGAATTGTTTCTCTAGTTCGTCCTCGATTAGCCGTGATTTAATTTTTCCGACTTCGGTATCCCGCGTTGGCTGCGGAGAAATTGCTCGCGGTTATTTAAAGTTCAAGCCTTTGTCAACAAAGCACTAGAGCTACCAAGCAGACGAATCGATCATTCATTATTTTTAAATAGAAGCGACGGAGGCGTCGAGCTTTCGATCGTATTTTAGTTCGAGTGTTGCCGTGTCGATTCGTTTGAGGATCTCCCAGAAGAGAGGCTGTATCTCTTTAATGATTACCAAAGATGCAACCAGAAGCGCGCGATTTTCACTCATCCGGTAGCTCTAGCGTTGAACGACATTTCCGAAGGTGTTCGTGATTATTATTAATAGAAACGTCCTTACTCAGTTCCAATTTTCGTGAATTATTGCGAGTATAAAAACCGCAGTTCGAGCGTATTTAGTTAATCGTGTTTGTTTACTCCCCGGCAAGGTATTATCTGCTCTCGCCTGGGGACAAACACCTGATTAAGCTTTATCGGGCAGCGAACTAAACCGTGTTTCGCGAAATTCGCGGCGTTTCGACAGCGGGCCGACGATGAATCGTTCGTCCGTGTCGCGGAATCCGAGGCGATTTCACGGCTACGATGGCCACAATAAAACTGGAGCGGAGCCAAGACGCGGGGGTACGCGTACACATCAGCGACCGTTGCGACGATAGAGCAACAATTAGGTGGATCGGCTTATTAATAACCGAACGCGCCGGTATAACGAACTTGTTAAGCTGTGCCCGTCGTTACGGACGACCTACATTAACAGATTAACGCGATGACCGATCGCGTGCATCCTATATAGGGTGGGTAACGCAATAACACCGCAATCGGAAGGTACAGGTGATTCATCGCGCGAAAAGAAGGCGAGTTTCACTTCTTGGGTGCATCTCATTACATCGGTGACATCGAACTTGCATATTTACAATGCAAGGTCGAAGACGATTAATTGGATTATTGAAATAACCAAAGGCTGTTACGCAGTTTTCATTTTTTAGATAACAGGCTTCGATGGTCAATAGTATTTCTAAGAAGTAGAAAAGGTAGGCCATGGACGGACACGTCAGTCGGTTCTTTCGCGATATCGCTCGTTGGATGCAATTTTCGAACGCCATTGTTTCGGAAACAATAGATCGTACACAGAAACTTATTCATATATAATAAATAGACTGCAAATTTTTGTGCATTCGCGAGGAAAGTGCAAAATTGCGCAGAATGTGTACAATATGAAAAAGTATCAGTTAGAAGAAAGTCAATCGAAATAAGCTGTTTTCCATCGTGA